GCTTTCCGGATCAAAGCACTCCACTAACCATGCACACAAATCTCTCTTTATTTGTTTACATTTAAGGTTTAACCCCCCCCCCCCCCCAAAACCAATTTCTTCAACGCTACGTCTTTGTTCTTCACTTAACTTTTCTATTATCTTCATAACCATGTTTGGTGAACATCTTGTACCTAGCTTCACCTTCATAATATAAAAAAAATATATATACATATTATGTATTGTTTTCTATGTATAAGTGCACATATATATGCCTTTCCAAAAAAAAATTCAAATTACCCCATTGGAGTTCTTCATGTTTCCTTTCAAATGCTCGTATTCCAACTTTGATGAATTCGCCAATTCTATGTATTTTCGTTTCTCAACATCAATCATCTTACGGCATTGCACAACACAATCTTTCATTGCCTGAAATTACTTCCATTACACTTTATAAACATGACTTCGCGAAATTACAAATACTAACACGTTAAATATACATACCTCATTTTTTTTTTTCACTTCGTCAACACCTTCTATTCTCTTTAAACTATCTTTGTTGCATAGGACAAATGTTAAAGATTTAACCTACATCTTTAACATTCTCCAATGATATGTTCAAATTTGAACTTATATCTTTAACATTCATAGATCGATGGTACTACATCCAGGTTGATCATTAGGGCAAATATCCACTGACTCACCAGTAATAAATCCAGGCAGTTGATGACCGATGTATTTTATTTGCATCCCTTTTACATTCAATAGACATCTTCTTTACCCTGAGTATAATATGTCTTCTATTACACCTTAAATAGGTCCCAATGTTACAAACCATATAAAAAAAAGGATATCGGTACTTACATGGATATTGATTCAATCGAATGCACATGCACGATTATAATGTATCAAACTACCGTCAAACGCGACTAACAACAACAATGGAGTGCTCCAGCATCGCTTACAGTCGTCGCCCTTCGTTTGGAACGACTTTGTGGAGTATACCATAGTGATGAAGGGAAGACTGCTTGTGGCGGGATCATCTGGGTGGGATAATATAAGTGGGAGGGAAAATAATTTTTTATTCATTTCATTGTACATGATGATGGGATTCACATTTCCTTCAACAGAAGTGTAAAAATCCTTTAGTCATATTTGAGATAGATCTTAAATAATTAAGATCGATCATTCCATTCAATATTTTGTGGATGTTCAATGCAAATGTAAATCCATTTAGGATCAATCATTATTCTTTATGATCGATCCCAATTTCCCCATTCTCCCATAGGCAAGATGGATTAACCCCCCAAGTAAGGTTGTAACATAAAAAATAAAAATAAAAATAAATTTTTTTTTGATCAATCATATGAATGTACGATCGATCTTAATTATCCTTTCTTATAACCTCACCCCTTAAGGTTACTACTTTCCGAATGACTGGAGTAAGTTTACCTTAATCCATTGTAAGTTTTCCATTTTAGTCGATAAACTTACCTTTATTTTAATAGGTAACTTTACCTCCATTGGTGTTAACCTTATTATTACGAGTGGTAATCATACCTCTAACGGTACTAATCTAACCTCAACATGTACTAACTTGTCATCAACATGTAGTACCCTTACATCAACTTGTTGTAACCTTACTACAAAATGCTNACGGTACTAATCTAACCTCAACATGTACTAACTTGTCATCAACATGTAGTACCCTTACATCAACTTGTTGTAACCTTACTACAAAATGCTTTAACCTCACCCCTAAATATTACAACATTACCTCTCCATGTAGTAACCTGACAACAATTTGTTATAACCTCACCCAATACAAATACCTTTTTTCCACATACAAGAGTAATTTTTACCTGTATGCATGGTAAGTGTTCCTTTTTAAAAGATAAACTTAACTTTCTTTCAATTGGTAACTTTACCTCAATAGGTGGTAATCCTATTATTAAAATTGTAATCCTACCTATAAACATAGTAACCTTACCTTTCCATGTTATAACCTCACCCCTAAAGGTTACCTCTTTGCCACTGACAGCCATAATTTCATCTTTATACATTGTAACTTTCCTTCAATAGTGGATACAATTACCTTTCAATCCGTAACTTAGCCTAACTAGTTGTTAACCTTATTTTTAATATTGTCATCTTCCCTTTAAAAATTGTAACCTTACATCAACATGTAGCAATCTTTCATCAATATGTTATAACCTCACCCATACCGATTACCTCTACTGCCATTGATTGGAGTAATTCCACCATTATTTGTAATAACTTTCCCTCTATTATAGATAACCTTACAAATTAATATATAACTTACCTCACATCACCTGTAAACTCATACATTTGCCCATTACATCAATAAACCTACTAATAAAAATTGTAATCTTTCCTACAAAAATGTAACATTACTTTTAATGTCCATCTATACATTAAATATTAAGATCTATCGTACATAATTTTGATCGAACAAATACTTTAGATAGATCTTAAATAATTAAGATCGATTATACAATTCACTATTTTGATCTTCTGAATGCAAATGTATATCCATTTAGGATCGATCATATACAATAAGGATCGATCCCAATTTCCCCTTTCCCCCATAAACAATACCCTCCCCCCCAGTAAGGTTGTAACATAAGTAAAAAATATATATATATTTATTGATCAATCATGTTAATGTACGATTGATCTTATTGCTCATTATTCTGTATGATCGATCACAATGTTCTCATTCTCCCGTAAACAATACGCTCCCCCCCAGTAAGATTGTAACATTTAAAAAAAAAATTTGAACGATCAGTTTAATGTACGATCAGTCTTATTGCTTATTATTCTTTATAATTGATCCCAATTTCACCATTCCCCCATAGGCAAGACCTTCCCCCGTCCCCCAAAAAAAAAGATAAATAAATAAATAAATAAGGTTGTAATATAAGTACAATCAAAAAGAAAAAAAAATCAATTTAGATCGATCATGTAAATGCAAGATCGATCTTATTAATCCTTTTACTGATTGGCTGCGCAAGTTATAGGTTTCCACATACAAAAATGTGCTGATAAAAAATTAAAAAAAAAAATCAGATCAATGGTTGTGCACTAATGAGCAGAACATCAACGGCTCCCATCAAATTTTGGTACGGTACCAAATTTTGACCAATCGGTACCGTAGACGTTCCCTTAAGATTAATTGTCATTCGGTCGTGCGTTTGGTACAAATTGATGATGTGACTAGTTATCCTTGTTACCTCATCAGTAATAAACTCACATTGAGCAATCAGAAAGACAAGGCATAATCCTTACTCGGGGGTATCCAATTAAATGCTTGGCACATAGCCTCCAATACTCGGTGATAGATTGCGAGTATTTGACGTACAACACTTGATGTTCGAGATGACTTGGTGTCTGCGAGGCGAGAAGTCATAAATACTCGGCCACTCTCGAGTATCCAGCTTGACTCTGTCATATCACTGAGCATTAATGAGGCATGATGGGGAGCACTTATTGCATAAGCTGTCAAGTCTAAGTTGGGTATGCGAGTAGATGTCATGTCATCATATTTGAAAGTATAAATAGCCCAATGAAATAAAACATAGGTATGTATGCTAAATTGCCGTTGCAAACAATTTTTCTGACTTCGTTCCTTGTTTCACGAATCTCATTCAAGTTCACATTGAGACAAGCTATCTCAAACTATTACAGAAAATCACCCGTGCAACAACCATGGCCAAGCAAGTGAAGGGTCATCCGCAAGCAACTATCTGGAATATTTTTGTATTTAGTTCTCGGTAAGTTACGTCATGTCAAATTTGTGACATCTCTAAGTCATATTATGTCAATATTTGCTCAACTCATACTGACCTATTTGTCTTATAATGAAATCTAGCCAAGTTGGTGCTGTGCATAACCATGAATTGAAAGTCAACTTATACACGGTCTTGCAGAGGAGACGAAAATTTATTATTGTTTTTAGAAGTCAATCCCACGAAACTACACTCGTACGCTTGACATGAAAAATAGAGGCAAACGGAGTCAGGCCGAGCCTCAACCAGCAATGGGGTACAGCCATGCCAACATCCAAGTAGAACAACTAGAAATCCACTCTTTCCATACCTTAGACTTTGTTCTTCAAGGAGACCCACGTGCATTTTCGTGTTTCACATATTATTTTTATGGATTTGTACCGACCCATTTATATATCAAGTTTAATGAATCCAACTGTTTATTATCTGAATCCATTAAAACTAAACTCAAGCCCACTAATTCCATATTGATTACGTGTCAAGTTAATGGATTGATTTTAAAATTGCCATAACTACTGACAACTTTGCCATGGCCTGCCCAAAAACAGCATATCTGCTTCATAAATTGGGTACAGTAGGCAGTATAACTTTTGCTTGATCAAGTGCAAACATTACAACAGCTACATGTGAATTTGCCGACATGGTTTTGCCCAAAAAATCAGTCGTTCACCGGACTCTGGTATCTAGGGGAATTACTTCCTATTATACCTGCTTGCGTCTCCTAGGGTTTAGGGAATATTTTCCTACATAGCACCTTCCCAACCTGGACTTAAGCTCAGATCTCTAACCACGGGAAAGAGGGGGGGGGGGGGGGGGGGG